TCTGAGATACACACAAATTTCGCTCGCCTCCCTCCCTAATCTCGCTCATCTCTCCCTATTTTTGTGTATTTGATAGCAAAAATACATGTATCTAAGTGTAAGATACGTAAGAAACTCTTAATTAGTAATAAGATATGTAATATTTTGAAAGTACAAGTAATAATAGTATATATGATGTTAAAATATGTCTAATTATATAGTTTTTCCTTTAAAAAACCTCTTCTGTTAATAACGATCGTAATAAAGATGGATAGAAATTTAAAAAAATCATTACATAGCCGTGAATAAAACTTAATTAAAATCTCAAAACGAGTATTAGACTATTTATTGAGTGATCTTTTGTTTGGAGAAAGACTACTTTAGACTAGCCACAAATTTCCAAAAGGTGAATAAACTAAAATATGGAATTAAAATGTCTAATATCAATCACAAGAATTTGTCTTTAACTTGCACTATATTTTGTGAGAAGAAATTTTAAATACTCATTGAAATTATTTTTCAAATTTTATATTTCAAGTTTGAAATTAAAATAATGTATCGGATGATATGATATACAGTTATTTGAAATAATTATCTACATATTATATTATTCAAATATTTGAAACCAAATCTATTTGAACAAGTTCATGGCAAAGTTGTATTTAGCCACTACTTTCCATGTGTCGTGCAACACGAGATCTTTAGTGTAAAACTACATTAGTATTTTTCTTATTTATAAGTAAGTTATTTGACCAAAGACTTAATTTAATTCATAGATTGTCGATTAGGGATGATGTTGACTAATAATGGAGTTGGTAGTAGCTAGTGGTAACTGACAGTAGAAGTTGATAGTGATAATTGGTGATAGCGTTTAATAGTTATGACATATGATAGTGATAATTAATTATGATAATGAATAATGCGGTAATTGACAATATATAACTGACGATTGGTGATTATTGTAGTAATTATGATTGGTGATGATGATCGTAAAAAAAAAACAATATAAATCAAATAAACTGGAAAAAAAAAAAAAGGATTAATTGATTAGGACATAAATTTGAATTTTCTAATTATTTTAGCACCAATTAAGAAATTGAAGAGGTCTAGTCAACCTTAGACAAGCTAACCACCATTTGTCAGTCCAAATTTATAGAATTATTTTGTTGTCAAAATCTCATTATTATAGTTTTCAAATAATTGAGATGTCAATGAGAATTAATTAGTAGAGAATATAGAACATGTCATGCATGTATAGCCACGTACGGCAAATACTTTTCCACTTAATGACGTTGCTAAATATCCGTTTAAGTGATCGAATTAATTGAACAAAAGATAATTTATCGAATGAAGAGAGGGTGGGTCTCAGATTTTAAGCCTTATGCATGCATGTTTTTTCTTGATCGAGCTCATTCCACGTAGTCTATTTAATGTATTTAATCTTTTTTTTTATAGATTGTGACTATTATATTAGAGTGAGGTTTACTCGATACACATATGTTGATATTAGAGACCGTCTTTTGTGTCAATATACTTAATTATATTAACTATTTTCTTTTATTTTTTTATAAAATAAAAGTATAACCTATAAATGAAAAATGGCGCCTCAAAAAAATGAGAGGCTGGTCAATATAGCTGCAAAGTCTCTTCCATATTGATGACTATTAGAGTTATTCGTACAAAAACAACAACCATGACGATTTAGACGTTTAAATAAATAAATATAGTATTTTTTTAATAAAATAACTGAGTTTTTTTTTTTTTTTTAGATACAATAGGTAAGTAAAAAAAATATTATTTTAAAAATATTTGTATATTTAATCTAGACAAATATTACATAAGATTGGGGTTGGGATAGGGGTAGGGGTGTGGCCGTGTGGGGGATGGGGGTTACGAACGATGAGAATGAAGATGATGTGTGCTGAAAGGCGGAAAAATGAACAATCAATGTAAAATGTCACTTGTGAAACTTATTTTCCCTACTTCAATTAGAGAAGTTATTTTCCTCATTTTTAAAAAACTTATTTTCATAGAGAAAATATTTACCTAAATTTTTAACTACCCTAATATGAAAAAATCAAAAAAATATTTCCGTCTATATATATATATATAAATTTGTTGCTTTTTTAAGGTTATATATAACCACATTTGACCAGTTGAATATATTCAAATAATAAATTGTATCTTTATGATAGTACTAATTTTGCACTCATTACTATAAATAATTTGTGAATGCAATGAATAATATGAACCACTAACATTTGTTGCTTTTTAAGGATATAAATAACCACATTTGACCAGTTGAATATATTCAAATAATAAATTGTATCTTTATGATAGTACTAATTTTGCACTCATTACTATAAATAATTTGTGAATGCAATGAATAATATGAACCACTAACATTTGTTGCTTTTTTAAGGATATAAATAACCACATTTGACCAGTTGAATATATTTAAATAATAAATTATATCTTTATTACAGTACTAATTTTGGACTCATTACTATATGTATATATGAAGTTTTATATATATATATATATAACCACATTTGACCGGTTGAATATATTCAAATAACAAATTATATCTTTATTATAGTACTAATTTTGCACTCATTACTATAAATAATTTGTGAATGCAATGAATAATATGAACCACTAACGTAAAAACTTCATATTAAATAACTTTATAGAATTACGTCAATACTTTCACACATTGTGGATAACATAGGAAGCATCTTTATTTTTCCTCAGAGAATCTTTAAGACTTTTCAATGCTTCACTATCAATTTATTTTTGACTAGTGGCTTATATTATTTGTTGCTTTCACAAACTATTTTTAGTAACGGGTACAAACTTATAACAACAATAATAACATAATTAATATAATCTTAAGTGGTGAATTTGGAGATCGAGGATGGTGTATATGTTACTTTATTATTTGTACGTTGAGATGGTAGAGAGGTTATAAATTCAAACAAAACATATCAATAATCAAATATGTAAAGTAAATACAATAGTAAAGAAAAACTAATCAGTACTATAATAAAGCTATACTCAGACTATTTGATTTTACATAACCTCTATATATATCAAACAATATAACATTTTATTTGTCCATTTTAATAAATTAATTAAGAGAGCCTTATTTTTATTTATTTTTTACTATCGTTCGTATTAAATGACTATCAAATAATAATAATTAAATCTAAAGTTCCAAACATCAAAAATAAAATTAACCCAGCAAATATATATACCTCTAATTAAACTTTCTTTAAGAGATATAACCCACTCCTAACGTCACACGTGTGCGCTTATTCCCTCTTATATTCACTAAATTACATTCGAGGATAATTTAGTCATTTTAGATTTACTATGGCTGCTTATATATTAGGACTCTCAAAATATCACATGTGTCACATATATTATTTTAAAAATACGTTTAAAATATTATAAAAATAATTAACAATAAAATTATAAAATTAAAACAAATAAAATAATATATATTGGACCCGAACTTGTCCGGAATTTTGTATATAAGGGTCAAATCAAGGTGGCTCTACATGACCTTAAAAAAAATAGGCACAAACGTAAATAGGCTACATCTTTAATGACCTCATTGCATGACTATTCCAAACGTAAATTACATGGAAAACGTTTTTAAGTGTATGAACGTATATAAGAAAATTATGTCCATGGCTGCAAAAGTCTTTTCTATATTTAATTTAAATGAATAAATATATTTAATTCGTACAAGTAACAACAACCATGATTGTTTAATTTTGTGGTTTATACAAAGTTTTGTTTTTATAAATGCAGACAACAACGTACTGGCTTTAAAAAGACTAGGCCCACGATTTCCATATTTAGCGGAGTTTGGTCGCGAAAATAAAATTATTTCTATTTTATTTGAAAATATTAAAGTTGGAATAGTGTTTGACTATACTTTATGCGGTAAATTAAATATTTAGAATTTAAATATATTTTATATATCAAAAAATAAATACAAAAAATATAATTTAAATAGAGTTATTTTATTAATTTTTTTTTTATATATATGGGTAAATTTGAAAAAGAAAAATTTATATAAGTGAAAAAAGTTAAAACAGTATTTTTCGAATAAAATTTTAACGGCCAAATGGTGAATTTTAAATAAAGTAAAGAAAAATAATCGAAAAAAGTAAAAAAAAAAATCATGGCCAAACGGATCTTAGAGTTTCCATACTCCAATAATATACAATAACAATGTAAATACTTTTTATTTTTATATTGTTAGTAATTTTAAATGGTAAAAAATTTTATGGAATATTTTTTTTAATACCTTTGTTTAATTGTGCATCCAGTTTTTATAAACACCATATATGTAAAATAATAGACATTGAACATAACTCAATTAAAAAGTCAGTTCAAGTGAAAATTATCGTGGAACACATAAGGAGATCATACATAGTACCCCATCTCCCACTTATAATGTGGGAATTCAACCCCGACCCTAGCATGTTCAGACTGGGATATCTAGAGTATGAACAATATAAGATGATTATGCAACAGGTAAATCGTAAAATTGAGCTGAATTTAATTCTGATATCATTGATTAGAAATGAATATTTTAAGCCTAACTCAACTCAATATAAAAACTCTCACAAGTTACACGTACATATATAGTTTTTTAAAACACATGTTGCATTGAACTTAAATTATTTTTCTACTAAAAAAGGTTGTGATGGAGTGGTAATTAAGTACTTCTTCGTCCTTAATCAGAGTTTACGGACTTGAGTCCTCCTGGGTACAGACTACCCCTATGTGGGACTTTTCAACGCGAATTCTAATTTAACTGGGCTCCAATGAGGGTACCGGACACCTGGTGGAATTTTAAAAAAAATCCTCAATATGGAAACTATCATTACTATCTATATATAGTCCTATAGTTCCCTTGAATATTCCACAATCGCTCTCTCAAAACACCAATTCAACTTAGAATTCTATACATCATTTTATTAGCCTCTTTCTTTGCAATTCTCATGGATTCCTCATCATTGTCTTCTATTGAATCTCTTGTACATGTAATCAAGAAAGATTTGTTCTCAAACCAAGACAATTTCAACACTTTTTTTACCAAAACATCTGCCTATGACATTGCTTGGTTGGCCATGATTCCTTTTAATAATCAAGAAAAAGAAGATAATGGTCCTATGTTTGAGAGTTGTCTAAATTGGATTCTCAACAACCAAAATGAGCAAGGGTTTTGGGGTGAATCAAATGGTGAAAATCTTCCCACCATTAATACTCTCCCTATTACTCTTGCATGCATGGTAGCACTCAAGAAATGGAATGTGGGTGAAAGACACATAAGAAAAGGTAAATTAAAGTAGCAAAAACTTGCAATTATATTGTTACCTAAATCTAATTTATGTTGCTTGGATTCTCAAGAATGTTGATGTATCTGTGTTGGATCCTCTCAAAAAAATGGATAACGTTTACATGATCTGATAGACACTCAACATTTTTTAGAGAATTCGAGCAATATAAACCTAGATTTTATGTTTACTCGAATACTCCAAAATATCGCCGCACATAATATCTTCAAAAAAAATTATAACTTTTAGATACTATAATATTTGAATTTTCTGAGTAAGAATCACGTTTTGACTAGTACTTGTGTTGCACTCATTATTCTTATTACTTTAGTATAATAAATTTTATTTTACCCTCATCAATATCCTGACAATTTTGTCATGATATTATTAAAGATTATTGTTCTAATAATCTTTCATTTTTTCCTTAAAATTTTATAACCAGCACATAATTAAAGAAAATGGATTTTATTATTTGAAATGTTTGTTTGTTGAAATAAAAGGCACAAACTTTATTAAATTATATTTTTGCTTCTGTTATTTCTTTTCTCAAACTGTTTTGATATATTTTTCTTCTTTGAGTCAGTGATCTATCGATCAGAAAAAATTTATCTACCCTACAATGGTAGGAGTAAGGGCTGCGTATATCCTACGATAATTTTCAGCAACGGAGCTAGCTAGGATTTTCACTAATTAAGGAAGTTCAAAATATGAAAAAATAAACACACGGAGAAGTCAAAGAGGGTTCAACATATACACAATATACAATAAAAGATATACTCCCTCCGTCCCAAAATGAGTGTCACCTTAACAAAAAAAAAATTATCCCAAAATAAGTGACACGCTTAGGAATACAAGACAAAAATTAATATGTTTTTTCAACAATACCCTTATACTCCATTTAACTTACGGTGTTCAATTTTCAAGAGACATTTATTAAATAGAGATAGTTAATTTAGTGAATTAACTACACGTTGTAGTTTGTGGATTCTTAATGGACGTGATTTTTGCTTAGGTCTGAAGGGAGTAAACAATACAATTTTTCATCAAAGATTGACCCTGTCGGACTCAATTCACAAACTTCACTTGTGGGATATTAATTACATTGAATATGTCGTTGTTGTTGTTGTTTACACTTTAAATGACATTGGATGTGTTGTTATTTTCAGGCTTGAAATTTATTCATGCAAATATGAATACACTTTTGAAGGAAAATTCTCAATGTTTTCCATGTTGGTTCACAATTGTTTTCCCTTCAATTTTTCAACTTGCAAAAGCACAAGGCCTAGAGATTATTATTGTCAATGGATCAAACAAATTGGTATCTGATGTCTTCATGAAGAAGAAAGCACTTCTTGAAAGGTAACAATAATAATTTCCATGTAATTTATATAATTGCATGCATGCAAAAGACAGATCTAAGGCGGGTTCTATTCGTTCAATTTAATAGATCGTCCCTCTACTTTTTATGCATAAAAAAAAATATTTGTTAAAAATTTCAAAATCATTCTGAATTTACTAACTCTAAATTTTGGACACGTTGGCTAGATAGCTTTAAAAATAGAATTACTCAACACGAGTTTAGTTTATAGATTCTAGACCACAACGGGTTCTGAATATATTATTTTTATATCTTAAACAAAAAAAATAATATATATATAATTTGAATCAAAACTATAGAAAAATAAAATTATTTATACTAAATTGAATGTTTAGATGATATGCATGTTTTTGTTGAATTCTTTTGAATCCGTAACTCTGATGATGTTTCTAATGTGTACGTAAAATAAAACTATATACTCATTTTGACCACACAAACTCTACGTAAAATAAATAAAGATTTACTAGGTTTTTTAGTGATGAATAATTTAGGTTAAAGGCAAAACTATATGTTTAGATAATATACATATTTTTGTTGGATTTTGTTGAACCTGTAATTATAACGATGTCTACCCCGTCTTTAACTACATATATAAGAAAAAAAAAGTATATACATAAAATAAAATCATGTATATATATATATATATATATATATATA